AAACAATGGATTATCTGTCCCAAATCTAATTCAACCACTCACTCAAAACCTCTTCAGCCTACAATTTAGTTCAACTTGAAAATATAATTTTTCACCACATGACATAGCCACACACATACATTCTTGGAATATATAGTGGTCAACTTGATGGCAACTACATGTAACCACCTTTCGTCTACCATCACTGGATGTTTTCAAGCATTCTTAATACAGTGCTACACCTGGACACTCGAGCCCCTTGACCACCGACCCAGCAAATCAGATGGTGACACTAGCTCAGTAAAATGAGAATTCTTTTCAAATGAGGGGAACAAAGCACAGTTTACATTTCCTGCAGTCAAGTGTAAAAGGACAGACCTATTCCATACAACCAAGACTGTTAGAACAAATATTTGAGCTATCCTGTTATTTGAAGTTATCTGATGATCACTAATTCATGTGGAATGCCTCTGTGCCCATGCAACCATTAGCATACTGATTAGCTACATAGTCTGTGTTGTCAGTCATTATGAGAGACTGTAGACAGTGAACAGGGGTAAATTCTCTGCTTTGTATGTAGAGACATGATATACGTCTACATATAAGTCTGTAAGTAGCTATCACTAATGATAATTTTGTGACCTTAGACCCTAGTCAAAATTTGAGCATAATTTCATCTTGAAGGAAAAACCAAGTTCAATGGTTAGTGAACTTCCTTATTACAATGAGTGTGATGTTTCGGTATAGGTACTAACACCGTTATCAAGCAAGTGTAATTTCATCTTACTCTTGTTGGTTAAAGCGTTCGCACGTCACGCCGAAGACCCGGGTTCGAATCCCCACATGGGTACATTGTGTGAAGCTCATTTCTGGTGTCCCCCGACTTGATATTGCTGGAATATTGCTAAAAGCGGCGTAAAACCAACCTCACTCACTCACTCACTCTTGCTCTTGTTTTGTTTGTTTGTTGTTTAACGCTGCACTTAGCAATATTCCAGCTATATGGCAGTGGTCTGTAAATAATCGAGTCTTGCTCTTGTCGGCACAACCAGTATCCAGATACCTGTACGAAGACTATGACTCTGGTTTAAGACGAGAGTCTAAAGCAGCACACTGTGATTCATGTACTCATCATGAAAACCACCCTGCTTCAAACAACAAGAAACTTGGAGAAAGAGAAACAAAGTCAAAGTCCTAATGTTTGCTTACATGGCATACACCACTGAGTGGCCCTCATGAGTGGACAGTGTGTAATTATATGTAAACATAACAAGCATGCATGACTTGGGTTCTACTTGGGAGTGTAAACATGGGAAAGTGGTCAAACAGCCATACAGACAGTATCTCTTCTTCCTTATAGTGACAGCATGTAGACATCTTAATGGCCAAACCCTGGGGCAGTTTAACTGAGATATTGACTGGCATTATAAAACACAAAAGCTGGCTTGACAACATTAAGATCCACAGACACCTTTCTGCACTTACAGTAGGTCACCTGACACAAAGACTGGGTACAGTGTAATGTGCACACAATAGTTTTAAGAGTTTTAGTGTCTCAATTTCAGCCACTATACCAAATGGGGGGTAGTGGAGACATTGTTGTTTTATGCAATTTTCCAACTACATCACAGCTGCAGGCTGACTCTAGTCTGAAGCTTGATTCTTGTAAAACTCAGTTGTCAAGGAAGCACAGGTAATGGTAGTCCATATAACAGTACTTAAATCTCATAAAGATGTTGGTAGCTTCAATGCCAAGTGCACATGGACTCTAATATTTTCAGCAATAGTTTGTGAATAACAAAGGTTTGGCCAGGGAAACCAATGATTGACAACATGAACAAATCTAGATGCTGTTCAGATACAATGACACACAATCAGCCACTGATGAGAGACTTGATCCTGATTTGAGTCAACTCTAATGAGAAGAATGGGATATCGGTGACTCGAGAATCCACTTATACTCCACTCGGTACCATTTGCATACCTTTATCATGTAACTACGCTACAATGTTTTTACGTAGAAAAAAACAAGGTGTCATTATCATATCATAACCAAAATGTGGAGTCCCAAGATTTAAATACTATAGCATAACTGAAAAAATGAGTGAGTTGTTGTGTATGCATGTGTATGTAAGGGGTTGGTGTTAAATGTGTTTTTATGTCTTGTGTTTAATGTCATTTGAAAGTACAAGTTATAAGTTAGGAAGTTTAAGTCAGTCTTGATTAGACAGCTTTCAAGCTTGGCTGCTGTCCCCTATTATTCTGTCATGACTGAAGCAAATGTCTTTGTTACAGCCACTCAAGTTGCAAGCTAGATTATGTAATCTGATTGACCAGTCACTAAACTTTCTTACTTACAATTCATTCAAACACACACATTCAGAGGACAGCTTTAATTTGAATGCTCAAGCCTGCATCGTTTCAAGAGGTCTGTCTGAAAATGTCAGAAAATCGGAAAATATCAACAGTTTCCGATCTTGTCTCAAAACCATCCTCTTCAAACGAGCATTCAACTAAGCACACATAAGCAGGACTCTGGATATGTAGCGCTATACAAATGCCTTATTTGATTTGATTTGATTGGTCTGCATTTAATGAAGGTTAGTAAACATTACAAACATATAATATTGAGTAAAATATGTTTTTATAACTTTATCTAATTGCAATTATCATGTAGGACTTACTTGCTAATATTAACTGGGGATAGGTTTGAATGAAAAATGTGAATGGATTGTTGTATAAACTTGTTTTATAACCTATTTATAGCACACATTCATTATATTATAGCATTTGTATTATAGTGTGTAAATTGTGGCTACATGTTAAAGGCACCATATCACACTACACTTCTCTAAAAAAAATAATGCATTTATCTCAATAATACTAAGTATCAGCCCTCAGGGAAGCTACCATATAATTTATGTTTAAAAACCCTGCTTTTTAGATTACATTAAATTAAAAGTTCGAATGAATTAATGAAACGTGGCATTAAATCGACTCTCGCTCCCTCTACCGGCCGAACATTATTTTAAGTGAACCCCACAGAGTTATGTCCCTTTGAGCGCTCATTACGAATATCCTACGCCCAACTTGTGATTGAAACCAGTTCGGCAAACACCGACAACACAGTATGCAACAGTTTTTGATGTATGGAGCAATTGTTTACATTCCATATATGGTAAGTGTTCTCTGTTTAGAAACTGGTCGCCTTGATTCAGTAACCCATGCTTGTCGTAAGAGGTGTCTAACGGGATCAGGTGGTCAGGCTCGCCGGCTTGGCTGACACATGTCATCGGTTCCCAATTGCGCAGGTCGATGCTCATGCTATTGATCACTGGATTGTCTAGACTCGATTATTTACAGACCGCCGCCATATAGCTGGAATATTGCTGAGTGCGGCGTAAAACTCAACTTGCTCACTCACTCACTATTTGCCTTCAAGTTTCAATTATCAATTTCAGGCAAGTCGTAAGGGATAACAAGTCTTTTATTGCATCAATAGGAAGCTAAAGTGAGTGCATATGCCCAAATATGTATAATATAGGCCAAAATATTGTGGGAAAAGTGTGACATTAGTACATGCATTTCACTATGATAGGTTATGAAAACCTAGAGATGGTAAAGGTTGCTGTCTAATTTATCAATCTTCATACCATAATTACACATTCAAGAATGAGTATAAGGAGGTTTACCTAACTTATTATATAGCATGATTTGCTTGGTAATTATGCTTTTATAGCATTTACAGGTAACTTCATATACAGTCGAGCACCGTTGTCTAGATATTCAAATATCGAGTTATCCGAACTTCGAGACATCTGACCAGGGCATATCATCATATATCACTATGAAAGGAAACAAAACGTTTTGATTCGAAACTATAATCCGTTATCAGTAGTGTTTAATCGCAACAGTGAGTACTTCCTAATTAATTCCTTCTTAATTAATCGTAATGAAATAACAAACAAGTGACACCTTCAACTCAATTAGCCCTAATTAGTTTACACTACCGCATCCCTTTGATTCATGCAGCACAGTGTGTAAACGTGTGCAAACAACCACAGTTCAGAGGGATACTTGCCCATGAAAGGTAGGTGAATATCGAGTTTCTTTGAAAATATCGAGTTAAAAAGGTAATTTTGCTTGTTGGGACCATGAAATTATATCGAGATATCCGAAATATCGAGACATCTGTATCGAGTTAAAAGAGTTTGAATAATGCTGAGTTATGAAGGATTTTGCCGGGACCAAGATGTGATATCGAGACAACCGAGATATCGAGTTATCAGAGTTCGACACAACGGTGCTCGACTGTATTAGATTAGAAGAACATTATGTTTGCTTGGCTGTGTGGTGCTTAGGCCCCTGAATGGACATATTTAGAATGTATCTGTGCATTTCAATTGTGTAATTCTATCATGGTATCAAGTTATGCTTCTGATTTAGCATTTATTAATTAGAATATTTTGTCAACGTCTGTAACTGGTATTATGAAGAGGTAATTGTGTCAACCTTGTGTAAGCTACTCTTAAGTCATTTCAGCATGTCATGTATGACCTATAAATGTAATATATCTTAGCTTTATTATGTGAATTCAAATAAATTAGTATTAACTGTCAAGTGCAAGAAATGTGAATCTTATTGGTTTTTTCCTATCAGTTTCATGGAATATCTGATGTTTGTTAGTCAATTTCCATGTATTACATATACATGTGTGTGTATGAAGTAAATACTGTCAAAGATCCACACCCAGGAAACCTGTGTTTATTGTTCCTGAGAATCCAGTGATGAACAGCATAAGTATCGATCTACGGCATTTGGAACCGATGACATGTGTCAACCAAGTCAGCGAGCTTAACCACCCAATGCCGTTAGTTGCCTCTTATGACAAGCATGGGTTACTGAAGATCAATTCTATCCCAGATCTTCACAGGTCTGTTCCTGAGACAACAATGCTACATGTGTGTGTCAGGGAGTGGAGGGGTCCTTGTAGTAAATAAGAGACCATATACTGCACTTACTTTTTCATCTTCTTGGTACTATATCGAACTTGATATGCTGTTTTGAGAAGGAGCTCAGTGTCATTTTCATATTTTGCACGAACATCTTTTTGAAAGTACTGGAAAGAAAAATATAATGAAATCAGTCATTTCTTTCACGCTGAAAACAGAACAAAGCCCTAACCTGATATGTGCGAAAGTACAGTGACAAGTTCATTGACATAAAATAGGCTACTCCTCTCACTAATCATGGACAGGAAATAGTCAGTTTCCTGTTGCTTGTTGAGTTAATCAGGGAAATATTCAGATTTTGCTACATCAATGTGACTTATTGAATGATATTCCATGACTGAGGCAGATGCCTTTAAAACTGAGTGAGATGAAGTTCATGCTGCTTTGAACAGCATTTCACATGTCATGCTATCTTAATGTGGATGGAAAGCCTTAAGTGACACAGGTTGAAGACGGTAACTAATGGTGAAACAGCTGGACTGAAAAAGTAGTGATTATAATCAGGGAGAATCAAGAACTCAAACAATAGCAGGTCCGGGCATATCTAAGGGATGTAACTCAGAAAACTGAGTCCCCATGCCACACCACACACACGATGATGATGATGATGATGATGATGATGACAGTTTACCTTAAGCATGCCCTCCATGTCCAGAGACATCAGGTCCTCATGACTAGTCTGTAGAATGGCCATCCCCACCCGGAATATCATCTCCATTCCCTGCAGACACAAGGCAACTGAATACAGTCCAGAATATGGGGTCACCAGTAATAATAACTGGACTTTCACTGAATACACATCAATTTCCACACACATAATCTATGTGTGAAATTAAGCATACAAGTCCATAGTCCCTTGTCATAACCCTTAACTTAAAAGTTTGATTTAGGGGCTCCTTTCATTCAAATACTCCAGGGCCCCGTTTCACAAAGCTCTCGTAGGCCCAAGATCTCGTAACTTTTCTCGTAGCATTGGTACCTGCTATACTGTAACATTGGAGGTACGAATGCTACGAGAAAAGATACGAGATCTTGGGCCTAAGAGAGCTTTGTGAAACGGGGCCCAGGATCCCAAGGTTCACCATTATTTTAATTATAATACAATTTAATTTTGATTTGATAATTAGTAATGTTATAAATATTGTACAATTTTCCAAATAATAGCAAACCTTCCAATTGTCTAAATTCTTCACAATGACTATCTTTTTCATGCAAAAGACATTTGTAGAATATACAAACCTAAGGGAGAGAACTCATGTTACCACTAGACAAGTAAATGTAGTTTCATTGTGTATTCAACTAACCTTACTTCTGAACTAAAATACAAAATTTGACCAGGAAAGATCAGATCAAAGGTGCTTTTATTACTGAATATGAATGGGATTTGTTGGATGTACTCCATAGGGTGCAATGTATTTGGAGAGTACTACAAATTTACAGTACTTTATTATTTGCGTCAGTTTGTTATAAGCATGTTCATTATAAACATAGTTGTAATAGCAATACTTCCTAGGGTTACGGGAGGTGGGGTAGCCTAGTGGTTAAGGTGTTAAAAAACCTGTAGTTCTTTTGGGTTTTTGGCAGCATTTCACATTTTCAAAAACCGGGTTCGATTCCCCACATGGGCACAATGTGTTAAGTCCATTTCTGGTGTCCCCCGCCTTCCGTGATATTGCTGGAATATTGCTAAAAGCGGCGTAAAACTAAACTCACTCACTCCTAGGGTTACACACAGCATGTTCTTCCACTGTGTAATTGTATTCCTGTTTTGTATCCATACATATCGATCTGTAGTACAGATATGTTTAACTGGATAGTTGTGATGAAAGGTTATTCTTAATGAAAGCGTTTTGTGTCTTTTATAAACCAAACTTAGCCACATTTATAATAAATTTGCATCATATTTCCCATGGGTTGACTGCATTTTTGTTGCTAAAATAAAATAACAGTTCCATCAAAACAGTAACCATCAGCATGTCTGTTATTTAGTGGTGGATGTGAGTGGAGCTCTGACATTGTGTGCTCACCTCTGATATGAAAATATCCATGATACGGCAGGCAAGAGACAGAGGTAGAGACGTCGTAAAGAGCGTCAAGGAACCACGAGGATGCATACATGGACGTGTGGAAGTTCTGAGTCTGAAAGTGCAGGTACAAGTCCGGCAGCAGTTCCTGAAACAAAGCATAAACACAAATCAGCATGTTGACAAAGGCTGCACACTTTTGCAATGTTGAGCCAGATAAACTTTCTATGTGTCTAGTTATAAGTAAGCTAACAGCCAAAATATCTAACACTACAAACTACTTGAAATCTTACAAAAAGATGAGTAAGGAAATCAGATGAAGGTTTGTCAACTGATTCTTTACATGGGCAAAAGCATGACTTATTTTATATGCAACTTCTTTATTCTGTATAGGAGACGTTTCGACATAGATTCTAATGTTGTTGGTACCACTTGCTTGACGACATTAGACTCTATGTTGAAACGTTGCCTATACAGAATAAAGAAATTGTATTTCCATAAAAATTACCCTCATTCTTCATTCTTCTACAATGCTAATCAAAGAAGTAATCTTTACATATCAAAATAAGTCATGCTTTTGCCCATGTAAAGAATCAGTTGACAAACCTTCATCCGATTTCCCTTATTTCTCATTCTTCATGCAAAGATTAGTTAATAATATACTTTGTACTTAAAATGTACTCCAGATGAAAGATATACATTTATTAGCAGCTTGTAAACTTTGTAAACTGATATAGATGGTGAATCTCAATTTTGGACTTGACTATCAGTTCAAAGTTAATGTCAACCGCTGATAATCCATTTATACCACAACTACCAGACATATACCACATGTTGACTACCTTCACATGGTTAGTTCGAGCACCGTCTAGATTGATAAGTCTAAAGTAAGTATTGATGTGTGAACTTTATTTTGTAGCAATATGACTAGACAACTTATATATCTTGAATGAAGTGTCAGTCTACAGCCCTACTGCAGCAGCATCATCTGTGTGACTGACTGACCTGGATGAGGCACTCCAGCTTGTACATGCACAGCCCCAGCTCCGCCATGCTGGGCTTGAACATCTCCCTCATGCGGAACTCCTGCATCAGGCGGACCAGGACAGCAAACGCTTCTTCCTCTGGCATCTAGGGACACAGATACAGTTTCAGAACAATGCACATGAAGGTGCACTTGGCTTAGCTGATTTGTGCAGATGGATATGGGCATGAATACTATGCTAATATGAAAGATAACATTCGTTACTGGTAGGGACGCCACGATGCATCGATACTTTTTCTAAGACGATACAATTATCGATACATTCAAAACTGTATCGAAATTTAGTTTTGAAAGTATCAGTTCAAATATGTTTATGTATAGTTTAAATTTTGCAATTGCATCATGTTTTTTTATGTTATGAGGGATATAAATGATTTTTTTTTATGCACAAAGATGGGAAATTAGAACTTTCTAATCTCTGAGAATAAAAAATGTTGATCTTTTCATGGACAATTATAAAATATGAAATATAAAGTGTTCAAAATGTAACTAAATTTACACAATAATGCCGCGAAAATAGGTATCGTGATACGTATCGAATCATGACATGGGTATAATGCTACGTATCGATTCATGAAACTTTTGTATCATGACATCCCTATCACTTCCATAAGTGGCATTTAGAAGCTGGTATGATGAAGTGGAACACTTTTTATGGATAGACAACTTCTTTGTTGCAGTAGTTACGACTTTTCGAGTAGATCCTAACACCGTTATCATTTGCTTGATAATGGTGTTAGTATCTACACCGAAACGTAGACAGAAGCTGTCTATCCATAAAAAGTGTTCCACTTAATGACATCCCTGGTTGCTGGTTTACTGCCACAGTTAACTCCACAAGTATTTTCTGTGCGTTACATTATCTGTCCCCTGTGTCTTTATGTCACTCTCCGTTGCATTACAACCTGATATAATATATCAAACACTGTTGTGTTGAACTTTGATGAGTAAAGCTAGTCAAACCAGAGGTTGATATCGTGAGCAACACACACATTACCAAAAGGGTGGGCCTGACACCCCCAATCCATTTTGTCACATCAGATGACAAGCACAGAGTACTGGGACCTATTCTAGCCTAGAATGTCACAGCAATGAATCTTATATATAACGAGGCAATTGAATCTCCTTATAATGAGCAGGTACCTTGTGTGCTTTGACAGAAGCATAACTACCTCTTCAGCATCTATGGTTGAATTTACCTGCATAAGTAGAAGTCCCACGATGAACCCGCTGCCCTGACAGTATCCGACCTCACGGTCATGGAGAGAGTACGCCTGAAACAACACAACACAAGGATCAGGAGAAGCGGGACTGACAGCAACAGAGCAGTAAAGTAAATCTACATTCAATTATACAGATCAACACAATAAAGTACATCACCAACCAGAATATCCACTGAAAACATCAAAAAAATATCTAAACATCTGGTAAGAATTCTTTGCTATTTACTGCAATATAATCAGTAAGATAACAGCAATGACATGATGGTGGCCTTTAACGGTTTCTAGACCAGTCATTGCAGCAGTTGATATTATAATCAACATCCCACTGGCTAGGACATGGTGGCATGTCACCCAGCCAACATATATAGGAATATGTTCAGGTTCCTACGGAAAGAAAAGTTTTCAACATGTTGCTCCACTCCTATGGAACTCTTTGCCTCTCCACATAAAACTTTCTGAAACAACTGATTCTTTCAAGAAAATTCTTAAGGCCCTTTTCTTCACTAAAGCCTTCCAGTGACTCTTCATTTTCCTTGTATATCGGTTCTCAGTGCCATGAGCATGCATTCGTGGGTGGACACTGGCGCTTTATAAAATATCCCTATTATTATTATTTATTTCATTAACAAATGAGAAAATTATCTCAGATTCATGAACCTTCGTTTTCATTGATTGTATTGTCTTCAGTAAGCAAGTGATTTAATGTCACTTTGAACAATATTTCAGATATCTCAGTGTTTCAGCTTAACATGGGAGGAAAGCATTAGGTAATGCAGGTCTCACACGTTTTCCACTTGGAATCATAATTGCATCGATCTTTAACTTGAACCCACAGTCATGTTTCAGGCATGCCCAAGGGATGGAACTCTGCATTGTGAATTAGACGTCCCTGCCCCCTTCCATTATTGACCTCACAATACAATATCATGTATAGCATCAACATGTTCAATGTATATTAAATCATTCAGCTCCTCACAGAAACGCTTGACTAAACTTTGCTACTTGTCGAAATAGACATACACATAATAAACATCTCAATCTTCTCACCTTCATGACATTGAAAAGACTTTCCTGTCCTAACCCATCCTTCTCTTTGAAGAAATCGTGATCGGGAAAAGTCCTTGCAATATCTCGGCGTATAAGTTTCTCACATGGTGAGGTTTTCTTGAGATATTCTGCGTACAGCTGTTTGAACTGGGAGTCATTAACCCCAAGTAACAGCTGCCAGGCTAGACCACGGAAATGATGCGGAATCCCTTTCCGAACCAGTTCCTGAGGAAGGAAGAAAATAAGCTTGTGAATGGTTTGTAAATAATTGAGTCTGGGCCAGAGAAACCAATGGTTGAAATCATGAGCTACAATACTTCCCCTGACTTCCAAGAATCCTACTGATGTCATTGTTTTGCACCTGATTAGAAGTTTAAGATAGATAGATTTCTTTGTTGAGTGAGTGAGTGAGTGAGTGAGTTTGGTTTTACGCCGCTTTTGGCAATATTCCAGCAATATTCCAGCAATATCCCAGCGGGGGACGCCAAAAATGGGCTTCACTCATAGTACCCATGTGGGGAATTGAACCCGGGTCTTCGGCGTGACAATCTTTCAGACCCTAGATTCAAATACCATAGGAAAAATGGAAATTATTATTTGTGCGTATGTGAACCAACGCAGAACACATATATTCTTTTGATGGAATAACTTTCTGAACATATCCATAACAATATAACACTTCTGCTATACTCTACTGTGGGAATGTGTTGTTTAGTTCATTTTCGAGATTCAGAAATCAGACATGCTGTTTTGAATGCCTCAAACACTTGTAGTGAAAATAGATACCTTGACACTGATAGGGTGATTAGAAAATTCAAAATTAATCAATTTACTGATAGATAGAGAATACTACACTCGGTCTCATTACATACAAATTATACGAAACGAGTGTCATTCCTATGGAAGGTCACGAGTTTCAGAAACCATAGGAAGGTAATTTCGTATAATTCGTATGTTATGAGAACGAGTGAGGTATTTTATTTATTACCCACGTCTTACATACATTAAATTGACAAAATAGCGTAGTTTTAGAATCGTTGTGGTTTCAAACCGAAACCGGTTTCATAAAGAGGTTGCGGAAGAATGTTGTTCTTAGTACACTTTTTGCATGACTTCACACTGTAATGACGTCACTACGCCTTGCTCGTCTGCCCCCCTGGTAACCGACGTCACGATGCATGTCAGTTGTCATCGCCTCGTACAGCCTCCTACATTAAACTACTTCGTAGCACCCCGTTTCTTGGTTTGCAGTTGCTTCACTCGGCTAAAATCACTGGTGGAAACTTTGCGTTTAAGATTTTCGACGGATATAATGTCTCAGTTGGACTCACGGCAACGTTCACAATGTTTACATTCCCACAATGCATACAAGTTGTAGAATGAATGAATTCACGTGTGTGTAATGAATGAAAATGTAGTTCCGTCACAACGTGACCTAATTGAGAGGTCATCAGTTATCCAATCAAATCGTTAGAATCTCAGGTCAAGTCATTACGACACAGGTCAACGCGATACGACACTCGTGTGACGTAAAAGATCAGTATGCAACTACCCATACTTTGATCACGTGGGTAATAAACTGTGATACTTTTCAGTGGACACACATATCAATACTAAAATTTCCTATCAATGAAATATACAATGGAACAATTAGATGTTTTGCTATATGGATAATACATTATGAACATCATGTTAAGAATTCTGAGAGAAAATTTACTAAATGTGATATTTAACTGAAGCCTGTCAAAACTCGTGGTTTGACGGGATTATTCAAGGAGTTTAATAAAATGTTCATCTGATCATCTGAATGTAGCACTTGATCATCAGAAACATCCTGAATGTGTTCCTACCTTGATGTAGCCTGTTTTTTTCTTGATACTGTCCCACTCGTTGACGAGACGACCCCATGTCTCCCACAAGTTTTCAGATGGATTGGCAGCTGAAATACAATAGATAACATAGAAATTCCTGCAGATAATTTATTATCCATACCTGTTCTATACTCTTTGAAACTCTTTGACAATGATGAATCACTGATCAAATAAAATCTGATGAGGTGTATGAAACATCAAGCTTGTATATTTCAACTTTTTCAATATTTTTCTTAATTAAGTGTCCGACACCCGGTTCAGCAATATGCCTGCCATATTGTGTTGTGAAAAATGTAAATGTGCCTTATGTAAGGCATCAAACCTAGTTTCTTGTGAAAATGAGCCAACACTTCATCCATTATTCCATCAATATCATGTCATGGTGACAGTGGCTATGCACACAACTCCCTGTTTATAGCCATACGGGTGCGATTTCGCTATTTACAACCTGCACTGGTGCATGTTAAAAGTTCCTGGTGCAGGTTATCTTCAGTAACAGGTTGCAGCCGGTTGCAGCGGAAGGTCGCGGGTTCGATCCCCGACCGCGTCATACCAAAAGATGTTAAAATATGGTACTTGTTGGTCCCTGCCTGGCTCTCGGCATTAATGGGTACAACAAGGACTGGTCAGCTGTCAGTCATTGTGTGAATTAACGGGATGTGTCTGAGTAGGGTATTCATGCTTCACTGCAGCATGGTATCTCAGTGGGCTAGCACTATAAAACCAGCTTCAGTCTGGGCTAGTACAAGCAGCCGCACATACACATACACACACATGCATGTCGTCATATGAGCGAAATATTCTCAAGTACGACGTTAAACCCAATTTCACCTCACCTTAAGTCAGTAACACAGCAGTAATCATATAATTGATATTTATACATAAAGGTAATGCAAATAGAAACAGTATATGCATCATTTATCATCATGGGATCTGGTTCTCTTGAATGTATCTGATTCTGAGTACTTGTTATGAAAATTGCAAAATAAGTATTTATGTTACGAGTTTAGTTTTACGCCGCACTCAGCAATATTCCAGCTATATGGCGGCGGTCTGTAAATAATCGAGTCTGGACCAGACAATCCAGTGATCAACAGCATGAGCATCGATCTGCGCAATTGGGAACCGATGACATTTGTCAACCAAGTCAGCGAAACTGACCACCCAATCCCGTTAGTCGCCTCTTACGACAAGATAGTCGCCTTTTTATGGCAAGCACATGGGTTGCTGAAGACCTATTCTACCCGGGATCTTCACGGGTTGTTACTTTTTAGAACCAGTGACACTATTTGATGGTTAAGCCAAACCTATAAGCCAGGTTGCACTTGGTGCAGGTAGTCAATAAAAAACGAAATCGCACTCTGCCACTAATATGCAGAAGTTACATGACTTTGTGACCAAATACCCTCTCCACCAAGTCCAGTGCTGAAATCCAGTTCACCTTTGTGAACATTAAGCCATGAATATGCTTGAAAATACATTGATAAGCAAGCTGTCAGCTTCAACCCCAGAAACATGCTTCATGACAGACTGTATCAATACAAACAGGGACTTGGGGGAAGGTATACACTTTTCATAATGACTTGAAAAGGGTTAAAACACCACCTAGAGTGGCCATCAGCATCCAAGTTTGCTGTTTATTGCTACACTCGGAAATGATCCTGGCAACCTGTAAATATTTGAATCTGGACCAGACAATCCTGTGATTGATATGATGAACAACATTCCATGCTGCTATGGTATGATGACCTGTCATCAACCAAGTACCCTGAACATAACAACCTGATCCAATAAGTCACAAATATGATGAGCATACGTTGCTCGAGTTCTAATGGAATTCTCAGATTGAATCCGGAATTCTCAGAGGTTACCATGGTTACCAGATATAAATACTGAATGCCTGAACCTCAATTTTCTCTGAGGAAAGGAAATATAAGCTTAGATCTTATTTATGTTTCATTAGTGTATGGCAAAGAAATCTCACTGGACAAATGCAATCGATTACATAATTGAATGCAATCCTAGGCTACTATATGTAGTTTCAGAAATAAAAGCTGGGAAGGGGGTGAATATTTCATTAAATAAATGGAGTACTGATTGTGTAAGAGTGACAAACCTGTCCTAACACTCATCTGGCCAACTTATCAAGTTTCAGTGTATGAATTAAGGCCTGTCCGACCGACCGAGACAGTCTAGATTTCTGACGGATGGTCTAAATTGACAGCTAGCCAGCCCGATGGTCTGGTATTTTTTTTTAGATGTTCCATACATCTGAATAAATTCACCATATTTGGTCTGGTTAAATCCATTTTGGACTTACTTAACTTTGAAGTTACCAGCCCTGATGTCTGGCTGGATTTTTGGCTTATTTCATACACTGCCATGTTCACTTGGCAACATTTCTTCAGAAATCCAATGCCAACTCCACATTATTACACATAAACTAAACCTGATGAGCCGTTAATAATTAGCTCATGTTCAACAATTATAGTAAAGTAAGCTGTGGAATCATAACATTATTTATATACATCTTAGAAATGTCTCTTGACAGACTGTCAAGAGTACCTCTCTGTCTCTGTCAACATGCTGAACAATGCTGATGAGTGAATAATGCATATGAACAATGCAGATGAAAGAACAATGTTACATTGCTGCTGAAAAATGTGAATGGATGAACAATGCAAATGAATAAACAATGATACAATGCTGATAAACAAAGCCGATGAACAATGTTCAATGACAGTGAGTATAGTTTTATGCTGCAGTTAGCAATATTCCAGCCATAGTTACACATTGTACCAATGAGTGGAACCAAACCTATGTCTTCAGGGTGGCAAACTATGCTCAAACTACGTGGCTAGAGAATGTGTATAAACTAAAATCTATTGTAGAACTGCCTCCCATAAGTACATGTACACAAGCATTTATTGATCATGAGGCCAGACCAATTTTATTTCTTGTTATACGGATCTGCCGGTCGTTTTTTTTCATGAATAAGAAAAAAAATAAAGATTAATTTTCCCCGCTCAAAATATAAAATCCTAATGTTTTATTGATCAACACTGTAAATGTACAAGAAAAGGCTTTCTTAGATTGTGTTTTGCCCCATATACACTTCACAAATTGCCAAAAGTAAAATACATTTAGTATTTATTTATTTTTATTTTTATTTTTTTCCCCTCCTGCCTTTAGGTTTTCTGAGGACAAAAAACCGTTAAACAAGAAATAAAATTGGTCTGGCCTGATCAACAAATGAAATATATTTTTACATGAGGAAAATGGACATTGCTTTGTCTAGCAGCTATCAGTCAGGAATTATATGTTCAACAGATCCCGAAATAAAGCCAGACTGACAACCATGTTAACAAATATAACAACATTAGCAGCTTTGATTATCATCAGTTACTATAGGGTGGTAAGTTCAGTAACCTGATTGTTAATAAACAAAACTGCAAACAAAACATTTTCTACCGAAAAGATAATGTCGTCAAAATATCATATGTCAGCATATTGACTGCACAGAAATCATATTCTTCTCTGTTTGCTTACATATTCTTCTTCACCTGCTCAGTTGTACATTATGAAGAAACTACTCAGCTAACACAAAACTAGACACACACATCCCCATATCAGCATAGAGCAATATTCCAGTTATACAACAGCAGCCAATAACTTAAAGTCTGGAGCAGGCAAACCAGTGATTGATATTGTGAGCAATCATCCTTATCATCAGGGCACATCTGACACTCCACCAAATCAGACTCGGTCACCGAACCTGTCCCCTCAATCCTCTAAATCTTCTTATTCAGACTGACTCTGAGTTTGGTTTTACGCTGCAAATATTCCAGAACTCAATCAATGGGCTTCACACATTCTACCCATGTGGTGATTCTGTCCCCTCAATCCTCTAAATCTTCTTATGCAGACAAGCACTTTTTTGTTGCTGGGGACCAATTCAAACCCATAATCCCCATTGTGGCACAAATGAATAAAATGATCATTCAAGATAATAATACATAATTAGGAACCACAACTACTGTCACTCCTAAGTATTCACAGACTCCTCCATCATGATAAGTAACTGAAATTAAAAAATCACTTCAACTTTTCTGCAATTCGTTGTCATGCGAGCAAAACAATGCAAAGCAACTGAAACACCAGAAAATACAAAAATGACATGCATCAACAAATATAATCAAGAAAACTAAACACGTCTTCATTCTAGGACAACTGTAACCAACTCCACAAGAATGGGAAATTATGTACTCAGTCACAGAACCAATAGAACGTGATGTCTGACATACCTTCTTCCATCTTAGCGGGACGGCCGAAAAAACTTTTTCTCATCATCACTTCACTGACGCAGCATTTTCAGAATAAAACAAAATTCAAAACATTCGAATCCCTATTTACTGTGTCATATCTATACAATTGGTGAATAATGTATTTATTGGAAATGCTTGCAAAGTGTTTTTATCATGACAAGGAAACAATATTCTAAACTTAATTATAGTCCTGACCAAACTCAGGAAGTAAAATGTTTTAACATCGACTACCAGTTAAATGAAAACACCACTGAAACAGGTGTCCTATTTTGACAAATGGGGGTAACTATTTTTCTGTATAATGATATTATTTTTCAGGGTATTATAATGTCCTGAATGGTTATGGATGTACTGTGCATGATTCCTCTGAATGAAACTTGTTTTCGATTTGTCAGATTCAGAATATATATAACAGTTGACGTATCTGCTCATTCTAAATGTTCTATATGATGAAAATGCCAACTTTACGTTTGGTTTGAAAATATATTTACCAGTGTTTGTATACAGCAGCTAAAGTGATAATCTTTCTGACAATCCAGTGATCAACTGTATGAGCATCATACTACCTAACTGGGATACGATGACATGTGTCAACCAAGTCAGCGAGCCTGACCACCCGATCCCGTTACTCGCCTCTTACGACAAGCATGGGTTACTGAAGACCAATTCTAACCTGGATCTTCACGGGTCTCAAAGTGCAAAGAGAAATGGGATCTGTGGCTCACAATGCTGTAACTTCAGTTACACGTCAATATAAAAACACTTCACTGATGACAATAAACTGGGTTTACATTAAAGATTTTGTTAAACTCAGTCTTGTGGAAACTGAACACAAACCTAAGTGTAGATTGTTGTCGTTCTTGTTCAAGTAGAGTTTCAGTTTCATGGGGCCAAAGACAAAGCAAAATTGAAGGGCAGGCTTTTTACACCTTCGAAGTATTACCTAAAAGTCTCCATCAGTGGAATTTATATAATGTATTTCTCTTTATTATTTATCATAATTATAAAGTACTTTTAGCATCACAGCTCTGGTAAGACCATCAAATGTATTTTAAACATAAGAGAAGTCATTGAAGTGAAAATTCATGCAAAATCTGATATTCTATTTCATAAATACACAGCTACATCTAATGCAAGATCATGCATGAAACTAGATTATAAGGCCTGTCATTTCCCTATACACTGCCACAGGCTAAGACACAACCAAAGAAGGTTTCAACATAAAAATAAGACTTACTGTGCACTAACCATAACTCACTTTCACCCATTACATGCACACGGATAAGAATGAAAAAACTTACCATGCTTACCCATCTTAAAAGAACCTGATTTCCGTGTCATATTTTCTTGCAACCAGTTCAGACAGTTACACACCACAGAAATAGCAAATACTTCCCAATGACACAGTATTATCAAGATTATAGCCAATATTCCTATTCATGGTTTGTGATCAAGCAATCTGATTCCACAAAAACATCACCCCACTGCATGACCCAGACTAGCCACAATCCTGCCCATCACTTTCTTGTTCCTGTTTCCTGCTTATTGTAGAGGTCACATGAACAAGTATGATGACACTGTAATAAGGCTCCTGGGGCATGGGAGGTAAGGAAACCCTTGATTATTACTATTTATAATACAGTATCTGGACATGATATCACTATTTTGATATAATATATTGACCTGGGTTATGTTGCACTAAGCAATTGTAGCACATAGGTCATCGTAACTACCATACTTTCACACAGTCTTAACGTGAAGATCGCTTTGTGCAACAGGGCCTTGTAATTATGAGTTGTTACCAGGGAAGTACAAATAGGCACTTAGACTTGGGGTGAAACGATACACCGGTGCATTATGTGTTTTTCTGCGGCAGTACAATACACATTTCTTTTTCGACATTGATACAAGAAAACCCTTGCTGAATTTCTCACTTCTCGTTTTATAACACCCATATTTGTCAGTCAAATATCACACCATGTAATTAGCATTTGGAGTTCATATCTAAAAGTAGCTGCTCCAAACATGAGTGTACAGCTGGCTTCAAAGCTGGAACCTGTTCTGAAATATCTCGTCAAGTTTCCACATCATTTAAAAGAATTTGTGTAGATAGCCTTATTGGATATTACTTCATTAGGCTTTCAGCCCCCAAAACTACTCTTGCAAAACAAGTTACAAGCCATCATTATTTGAACTTCCTAAAGTTTTTACAAGTGATGGTTTTAAGGGGACTATATCTTTGTCCTGTCTTATAAAAATGTTTTTTCAGAAGTGAAATGCCTCATTAATTTCCATTGAAACATTCCTTCTTTCATACTGATATTTATAACCAATGTGATCCAATAATTACTCAATAATTGTTCACATACCTCTGACTAAACTTGTGTAGTGACTTGTATCACAGACAATGAAATAACATCCATGTTAGTCTGTCTCACAGTCCCTGAACCACATTAATTTCCCTACTGCCAAGCCCTCTCTTCAGTGCTAAAGCCATACATAAAGCAAGTCTAGATTTCCTCAGGTTCTGAATCTCTGGTCTCCCTAGGGCTCCTTTTCAATATAAATGGGCTTGTTTGTTACTATCAAAATTATATATATTCAGAGACTAAGCCTTAGTTTACATCCATGTCTGTATCTAAAGAAATGACAATCAGTTCAAGGGAGACGACTCTGTTTTCAGCTTTGATAGAATTGTGAGACTTCCTCCCAATTATGATCTGATGCTTGGAGCCAAACCCTTCTGTGGGACACTCAAACATTGAAATTATGATCTGATGCTGGGAGCCAAACCCCTTCTGTGGGACACTCATACATTGAAATTATGATCTGATGCTTGGAGCCAACCCTTCTTTGGGACACAGATGCTGGGACCGTACATTGAAATTATGATCTGATGCTGGGAACCAAACCCCTTCTGTGGGACACTCATACATTGAAATTATGATCTGATGCTGGGAGCCAAACCCTTCTGTGGGACACTCGTACATTGGAATTTTCAAATGTGGAAATGCATAAGTCACTTAAAAAGTTTCTATCTTTCAAGATATTTTATCAAAGCACATACCTGTTAAGACATAGCTTGTAGGTACAGCATTTGAAGCATTAAATGTGCATCAGCATCGATGGGCAGAAATTAGTGTTTTCTATCCATCAAATATTCTTGATCCAAAGACAAAGGATGTAATTGGTATGAAACATATACTGCAGCTAAACAAGTTAGGGTGCAAGATCGAAATTTGGTTCACTGAGTTAGAAGTTTTCACTTAATACATCGGGTGAGCTATGGTCCTTGCCAGAACTGAGAAATCCGCCCCATGACCTTGCCCGTGAGTTACAGTGACTCTGATTTCTTTATTTCAGTCTTATATCATTGTTATCTACAGAAAGTGATCAAGTCACATCAAATGAGTGGAAAACCGGATGCACATGTCACACTGAAATTAAAGCCTGCCCCCTTCAGTACTGCAATATTTGATAGCAAGTACCTTCCAAAACAACCAAATTTATCGAGTAAACTTTGTGTAGTCACCATGTTTTTGTTATACAAAGCTACACAAATACTGTTTATGCCATGGTCACTCATAGGCTGTCTTAAGCACATGCTTAAATATTTAGGCACTTTCCTTGTGACAGAGATAAAAATAAGGATTGAAAGTTTTGACTGCACTCCCAGTGTAAGTTCTATCTATTCTTAGCAGCTATGAAATATAGGTTGAAACATCAGACACTTCTCTGGTATCCATAGGGGTGGTGGGGCAGCCTGGTTGTAAAGCATTTGTTTGTTCGCCAAAGACATGGTTTCAATTCTCCACAAGGGCACAATGTGTGAAGCCCATTTCTGGTGTCCCCCGCCGTGATATTGCTGGAATATTGCTAAAAGCAGCGTAAAACTAAATTCAATCACACTCACTCTGACATCCAAACAAAAGGGTTAGATGGAGACTAGCCTCAATCATGAGGTACACTTGTGTGCAAGAGACACATGTCCACCATGTGTCTGATCATCATCAGTACCTCACATGTTATACACTACATGTGACTATCACCTATATATACAACAGCTACTATGTGATGAAGTCACTATTTTCAACAAACCAAACAAGAAAATACCTGGTTCTGGCGAGAATTTACTCAGTTTACATAACACAGACAGTAAATGTTTCTCAATTGCCACTGACTGTTAGCCATCTATCCTACGAACCACCTGAATGTCAGGCAATAGTATGTGGGTGAGGCTCATCTGACTTCCATGCTTTACACACACCTTCAGTTAATTGTAGTCACAGGTGGTGGAGGACTTCATGTTGTGTAGACAAACATGTGGTAATGACGATGATGTCTGGACACTCCAGAACAATTCACTCAGTCACTAGTGAGTGAGTTTAGTTTTACGCCGCACTCAGCAATATTCCAGCTATATGGCGACAACCTGTAAATAATCGAGTCCGGACCAGACAATCCAGTGATCAACAGCATGAGCATCAATTTACGCAACTGGGAACCGATTACATGTGTCAACCAAGTCAGCGAGCCTGACCACCCGATCCCGTTAGTTGCCTCTTACGACAAGCATGGGTTACTGAAGATCAATTCTAACCCGGACTATCATGGGTTCACTCAATCACTAAAAGAAACATAGTTGAGATGCAGTATTCCAAACCTTTTGGAATAATAACTAGCTAATTGAGAATGTCCACTGAAAGTCCCCCAAACCTTTCTCAAGGTTTTATTTGCCTACAGCATAGCATATGCCTGAACAAAATGGTGAAAAGTATGCATATATTTTCATATAGCCAATGATGCTTTGTATCTTGCAACAATCCTTCATGACAAGCAATGAATACATGCTCTAACCAATGTGAACATCATGCTGTGAAATATCCTATTACTTCTGCAGTATTTCATACAATGTTTTCCATGAACAAGTAAGCTTAAAAAAGAAATCATAGCATATCTCAATCTTTCAAACCAACCAAGCCAAAGTGCTGTATGAGATGGAAATAGCTGACAACTGGCTCCACAATGACACATGAATTATACATGCTACAATGACATGAATACTGTTTTAAAGATGACTACATAAAGATAGATAACCCAATGTCAGATCACATACAGCCCCCTATTAGAAATATGTTGCATGCAGAGCATTCATCCCCTGCACCCACACATTGGGCCCTAATTCATAAAAGTTAAACCTCTTTTAACCATCAAACACTACATTAAATCGTAATGTGATCAACAACTGAATAAAGTACCATATTTTATCGAGCATACTGTGTACCATGTGCCTAAACCTCACTTTGGATTCAAACATGTCAACCAGCAGTAATTTAAACAGGTTTCATTCTTCCACAAAATCAGTTACTTGTATTTAACCATAACATCAATTACCCAGAAATTAATTCTGTTTATTTTTTCTTCACAAGTCTGCAAAATATATTTGCATGTCATTTACTTAAAGCATGGTGGGGGGGTCCTCCTCTTCATATCATACTATGGTACGTATCTACACCAACAGACCTACCGACCCCCCAAATTTATAACTCATTACATTAGGATTAAGTCAAGAAGCCCCTGACTGCCATGCTTTATTTCAAACATTGTAATATTACATAAAAGCTTTAGTCCACAAGCACATGTTAGTAGTCAAACTGTAGCACATTTATGTTAATTTCAAAATGCCAAACAAAATAATATCCTGGGATTGATTAAAGACACAGACTGTTTCGTGGACAGTAATAAATTACACTGAACATGCAGTTGTACAGTGAGAGATTGTTGTGTGACTCACCTGCCTCCTCCTCGTAGGAGACTTGAGCACTGTAGTGGCTGTTTGAGGAAGTGGTAGAGATCACACTAGAGCCAGAGCCTTTCCGCGAGTGCCCGGGGTTGGGGGAATGAGCTACCAGGGCGTTGCAAGACTTCTCATCAGCTTCCAGTTTCCTGCAACATCGGTACAAGAAAATTTATTATCTTAAGAAGCGATGCCACAGTTTTTAAATGTTTAATGATTTTTTTAAGAATTTTACTTGAGTGGTGGCTTAAGTATTGTAATTGCATCCTGAGTGATGTAATGAGTTCATAGATTGTGTATTACACAGCTGCCACAGGTAAACTGACTCATGCTTTCCGGACAGTGTCACACAGTGTTGTAGTGTGCAAATACCAGCAACTCCTTACTCAGCAAATACCACATCAACTGCTACACTCAGGCCCTCAGCAAGCGAGCAACCATAATGTGTTTTATCAGTTTGAAATCAGAAAGTTTGAAGTGGAAAACTTTAAAGTCCTTACTGAAATATTCAAATGTGATAAATCGTTATTAAAATTATCTAAGCCTAAGTAAGCTAAAGAAGAGATATATATTTCTGTGACAGGTCTTACAACCAAACTGTAAAGACATTTGAGTCAACTAGCCTCAATTTGTAACTTTACATTATTGTCAGAAGATACAACAGTTATCACTTAGTGAGTTCCAGCATGACACAAGTTTAGACAAATGGCCAAATTCTCAAGCTGAGAATTGGACAAGAACGTTTGAAATATGTTACTGAACTTTATAACAAAGTTATGAATTTAGGGACCGTTCATAATTTATGGCTGGGGGTGATGATGATTTTTATATTTTTATGGAGAAGCATGTTCAATGTGAATGACCTCACTAATCTTTATGTACAAAGTAAGTGATTTCCCATCTGCAAAATGTACACAATCAATGACCCACACCCCCTTTATACATGTTAACAAAAATTGATGATCCCCTTAAATACCCAGTACAAAATGGGTGACATGGACACAGCCCCCCCCCCCAAAAAAAAACAACAAAAACAAACCAAAAACCCAAACAATTTATGAACATTCCCTTACGGACATAACTGTCCCTATGTTTTTTTAAGCCAATTCAGTGAATGTCATATTGAGATGTGAGATATATGCCATGCTGTTACTGATAAACAGATTATTTCATCACTTATCATTAAGAAGGAAAAAATAATCTGAGCGGACACTGTCAGTTTAAGATTTACAAACTTCTTCAATGAAAATCAAGGCGTATTCTGTTAATTGTTTCAATACTGTGTCCCCTGATTTTGACACCACATCCTCCAAATTCAAAGAAATATAATCATAGACCTTTAACATCAACTTCCGTGCTGATAATCATACTCCAAGACAATATATTTACAGTGCAAACTACTGCAAACAGTGAAATGTTTACAATTAGGTCAGTTACACCTTCTGTACATCTAAACCAAACACACTCTCAACATATTATACCCAATCTCCTCTAATCTCTGTTCAATTAGTCGTATGTATATTACAAGGCAAACCATGTTCACTATACTGCAACCTGGCAATTCAGACAAGGAAAAGCATGTATTTATCTGTTCCATATTATAACCAGTTTCGAAATACCTGCCTGCCCGACCGCCCGGGACTGGTTATTTTCAACACGGAGTGCTAGATTCTCAAATTCACCTGCCCGACGGTCATATAGAAATGTATATGAAGATATTCATCATATTTCAGGATAATAGATCATTATTAATTCACTCGTAAAAAATAAATGATGAATTCCAATTGGATGATAAACTATGTCGCTTGTCAAACGTAAATTATTTGCAGGCAGGTAATTTTGGTCAGGGCTGGCAAGGTTTACATCCAACGAGCTCTGTGGTCTGGCTGAATTTTTTGCGAGTTTCATACCCTGTTATAACACACTTAAAAAAGTAAGGCGATATTTTATGTTGTTTTCAACATGCGTTAGGGATTGCAGGATGAATATCACAGGAGACACTGAATGCACTTTGACAGAATTTGATATGGGATGTGAGTTCAACGAAAAACAAATAGGATGAGTCACTTATGCTTAGGGACAGTGTCAAAAACATTCAAACATATTTTTAATATTTTATTTTTGAAGACTTGTAACAAAAGATATATCATGTAAACTGTCCTATTAATAATATTTTGATCCTTCACTCATCATAAAGAACTGTTTAATTATTTCGTAGGATGGCACACAACACATAACTATTGAGTATTCACAGTTTAAAATGTTTTAAGAAATGTTACATGATTGTTTGTTGGTTGACATTGTGGGTGTTATTAAACTAGTCCATAAATTTTCCCTTATGTTTATCACTTCTAAATGTCATTCAGAGAATTTGAACTGTTATTCCACAGGGCAGAATATTTTCAAGTGAGTGAGTGAGTGAGTGAGTGAGTGAGTGAGTGAGTGAGTGAGTGAGTGAGTGAGTAGTGAGTCCAGTGAGTGAGTGAGGAGTGAGTCATGGTGTGAGGAGTGAGTGAGTTGGGTTTTATGCTGCTTTTAGCAATATTCCAACTATATCATGGTGGGGGACACCAGAAATGGGCTTCACACATTGTACCTGTAAGGGGAATCAAACCCAGTCTTCAGCATGACGAGCGAACACTTTAACCACTTGGCCACCTCACCGCCCCCATTTTCAAGGTAGAGAAATTGAGGTTGCTGCATACACTGATTTTGGTAGTTTAACTGTTCTATACAAGCTCAGCTATAGATATTCCCCAAGTCCTGAATATTGATTGTATCCCCCTGTGTTCTACAGCATCACCATCACAGACACAGTGCTGTGTTGAGTAGACACATAGATTTGTCTAGAAGTTGGTAAGTGGTGCTTATTGTGTTTAACGATCTTTATGTGTAAAATATGGCACAAAAAGTTATAACCACCACATGTTCTTCATGGTATAAGATACAGGGTCCTGATCCACAAAACGTTCGTAGCACTACGACATTCGTTAGCCTATGACAAACTGCAAAGTCACGACAAGTCGTAATGTTACGAACGCTTTGTGGATCCGGGCCCTGGTCGACAGATCAACCTGTCAGACTCAAAATTGACCATGCATCATGAAGTAAAGATTTCAATATGATGCTTTCTACAAAATAATACTATTAATAGAGCTGGCTAAAAAGATTGCTAATCAGAAATATTGTCCATGGGAAGAATGAATGAATATTGGTATGAAAATGTGGCATCGGTAACATCCTACATAAACCTTTGCGATGAAATATAGATGTAATTTACTTACACAATACACAAAGTTAGGACTTAATTCTACATTATGTTCAGGGTGCTGTTTGGTTAGTTATCCATGTATGAATATGTCACCACTCACCAATAATGTGAAATATATTGATTTCTTTAAGACTTTCTTGGCACTTTTGCTCAAAGTTTCTTCTCTGATATTAAGGGATCGATTAATATTTAATTAACGATTATCAATCTCTATGATATATATCGATTGCCAACCCTGCAAAATAATATTATGATGTACAGACAATGTCAGGATTACAATACTTGGGACAATTTTCTATCTTTCTATACTTATAAGGCAGGTATACTTGAATATACTTCAACATCACATACTCATGAATGCCTTGACACAATCCCCCACGCAATTCAAATAATTCACAATGCTTGGGACAATTTTCTATCTTTCTATACTTATAAGGCAGGTATACTTGAGGTATGTACTTCAACATCACATACTCATGAATGCCTTGACACAACATACTCATGAATGCCTTGACACAATCCCCCACGCATTCAAATAATTACAATACTTGGGACAATTTTCTATCTTTCTATACTTATAAGGCAGGTATACTTGAATGTACTTCAACATCACATACTCATGAATGCCTTGACACAATCCCCCACGCATTCAAATAATTACAATACTTGGGACAATTTTCTATCTTTCTATACTTATAAGGCAGGTATACTTGAATGTACTTCAACATCACATACTCATGAATGCCTTGACACAATCCCCACCCCCACGCATTCAAATAATTACAATACTTGGGACAATTTTCTATCTTTCTATACTTATAAGGCAGGTATACTTGAATGTACTTCAACATCACATACTCATGAATGCCTTGACACAATCCCCCACGCATTCAAATAATTACAATACTTGGGACAATTTTCTATCTTTCTATACTTATAAGGCAGGTATACTTGAATGTACTTCAACATCACATACTCATGAATGCCTTGACACAATACAATCCCCTTTCGCATTCAAATAATTACAATACTTGGGACAATTTTCTATCTTTCTATACTTATAAGGCAGGTATACTTGAATGTACTTCAACATCACATACTCATGAATGCCTTGACACAATCCCCCACGCATTCAAATAATTACAATACTTGGGACAATTTTCTATCTTTCTATACTTATAAGGCAGGTATACTTGAATGTACTTCAACATCACATACTCATGAATGCCTTGACACAATCCCCCACGCATTCAAAGAATTCTTTGAGCTGATTGTTATACAAATTGATTTACAGTTGCTAAATTGTGGAACGTTACACTCGTGGAAGTGTGGAGATTCCTTCTGCTCAAACAAACCTGTTTGCTTCTTCAAGTTTTGCCAACAACTCCAGTTCGGGGCTTCCCGGGCCATCAGGATTCCCTTCTTCAGAAGGGATGGGATCACTCGTTGACGTTGTCTCCATGGAAACAAATCGGTAGACTCCTCTTTAATGCGATTTCAGCCATTTACTGTCATTTAGGATGCTGAAAATAAAAATTAATGAGTATTAATATAATGATAGGGATTTATCCAAACATGTCAAATGTTCAGTACAAGGTTGTGATTCATGTTGATCACATCATATGTGCAACCAGATTCATCCATTTTGCCAAGATATTTTCACCACAGTATTCTACAGGCCAAATGTCCATTATCATTAAAGGTTTTAGAAATGTCACAAGGATTCTCTGAATTTTACTACCCTTGGAATATGGTTAGGTTTGACCATATGTTATTCCTTTAATACACTCTTATTTCTTTAACTAAAGCATACTGTACTTGTAGATAGATTTCCCCTTTTCTCTGCCATTTACCCATTTGGCATCCACACTTCATGACAAAGCAAGTGTTGACAGAAGAAGGGAGGTAACTCTGGTTACACTCAAGTACTGTTTTCTCGTGCCATAAGTAACATTATCTGCTACACGTTTTTTCTTCTTTATTCAGTTTACTGTGTCCTAATTTACTGGGGTGCTGAGGTCATTGCAGTTTGCTGCTCAAGTATTTGAATCGAGCGACCCATATATTTTCAAAATTCAACATGATGAGCGTGATGACAGGGATCCTTCCATTCTCATTCTTTATTTCCAACACTGGGCACAAATTACAATATATTTTATGCACACCTTCAGATAGTCATTTAGCAAAATTACAAACATGAAACACCTCTCTGCATACTTGGGCTGCAACAAATACACTATGAGGCGAATACGATGTGCTTTACAAATATCTAGCAACAAATATGAATATTTATTCATGAATACTTTATCATTAATGTCAAGAAATTAGAATAACAAAATGCCATGTAAAAGCTTAAGTTGAAAAAATTCTATAAAGCAAACAGAGCAATACATTGCAAAAAATGGCACTCAAAAATGCCTATTAACAGTGCTGCAAGGGGCCTTGGCAAAATAACACAAATTAGGTTATTGCATGGCTTTGATATATATTCCATTTAGCATATCTCACTTAGATAAAAATAAACTAGCTCCATGTCAAAACACTTTCATAAAAAGTTTTTGTAAATATTTGATTAAAAATTATAAGTGACCACAAATAATGAACTGAATTCATGAAGGGATACAGAAGTGGATCATAACAGGACTACTGCATGCTCATTGCAACCATGGGACCCGCTTCACAAAGCTCTCGTAAGCCTAAGATCTCGTAACTTTTCTCGTAGCATTCATACTTCCTATGTTACAGTATAGGAGGTACGAATCTACGGGAAAGTTACGAGATCTTAGGCTTACGAAAGCTTTGTGAACCGGGGCCCTGGACTCCGCTTCACAAAGCTATCGTGGCGTTACAACTGTCATACCTCCTATACTGTAACATACACTTACGACAGTCGCAGCCCTACGATAGCTTTGTGAAACGGGGCCCTGGTGTAAATGGCAATTCCAACATCCCAAGAGACAAGCACTAAGGATAAATTTTACTCTTCATTAGACTCCAACATCAGACAAGCTTCCAACTTACCACTACTTCCTGACATGTAACAAGGACATTTCCTTTTCCTGAAAGTAGTTTCTATGACACATAATGCAGAATTCCCATTACCGTGATTACTTGAAACTGACTGACACTGCACACTATATAATAGATAGTGTGTGTTAGGGTCTTTTTCCTCAATCAAGATAATGCTCAATATAATCCACACTGTGTACACTGGGTACAAGTGTCGGCCTATCAGAGTAATGATGAAACTGTACGTCCTTAGTGTGTACCGCAACAGGTCATTGAACTTCCTATATTATCAATCACTATTGTACAGCCACTTGAGAGTCTGATCAGACTTAATCATATCATGTCTTAACCTCAGCTACCTTTCAAATGAACGAAACTGAACAGGGTTCTTGAGGGCTACTGCTTTGGTATATGAATCTAAGTTCCCCCTAAATCAAAAACAGTTCACAAGGCATAGTATAATGACAATAAAACTGTGACATCAATCATAACTGTAAAAATATTTTGAATGATTGTCTGGCATATCAATGGTTTTCTTTGAACAACCAGATACATAATATTTAATGAATTAAGGAGGTATGATTATAAGGCCAATTTTTGGCCCCCTTCAAAAGTCAGACTTTAGATAAAGAAAACTTCAAAGTATTTGTCAGACTTAGTGTACAAGACTTTTCTTACACTGGCAAGTTTTGAATTTCTGGTGCAGGCAAATACCAAAAGATGGCTTAAAAGTTAAATCCATAAAAAAGGCAGACATTTAGGAAAAAAAAGGAATTCTAATCACATGTATAAGCAAGTCCATGACCCAAGATAAATATTTTCCAAGATGTATGTAACGTTTCCTTTGCATAGATACATCTACGAAAATCAGATTGGGCAAAAGATTTCTTCAAATAACAGAAGAGTGTTCAATAAAAACATCAAAGATCAGGCGTTTAAAACAATTTAAACTGTTTTGTTTGTTTTTCGTTTAATGCCACATTCAGCAATATTCCAGCAAGGTATCAACAGTCAGTGAAAATCAAATCTGGACCAGACAATCCAGTGATTAACAGCATGAGCATCAATTTACGCAACTGGAATGTGATGACATGTGTCAACCAAGTCGGCGATCCTGAACACCTGATCACATTAGTCGTCTCTTACGACAAGCACTGGTAGCAGAAGACCATTTCTAACTCAGATCTTCATGGGGACATTTTCTTTCTTCTAATGAACCATGTTTACTATGCAGTTAGTGTTGTCACAAGACCCAAGCATTTAACAGTTCAACTGAAGAAACGTAGTCCAGTTTTTCAGTGGATATATCTGATAACTTTCATTTCTATTTATAAATAGTTTGCTTAATTCTGCACTAAGGCTGATTCTGAGGGACTAAAAAAACAATCACTGATTCTGAATGAATTTCTTAGTTGATTTTAGGTTAAATTTTACAACTTATAATGAAACCAATATTATTATTTTTTAAGCAATGAACAGGCACACTGAAAAATTACAGTAAATCATGAAATTCATGCAAGCAAATGCAATTGTCCATTGCTTGCACTAGAAAAGGGTCTGTCAATACCGGCATCACTCGGGACCAAATAAAAATGCTGGTTTTGACAGAGTGCCGGTTTAGGCAGGTTGCAAGTTCGCTTATGATGCCGGCGCACATGGGAAGTTCACTTTCGTTCTGTCACTTTAGCATTAACAACATGTTTGAATAAGAAACAAGGCAGTGTCTGAATGCACATTCATGTTTATTCATTCAAATAAAAACAAGGTACATGTATATTTTGTTTACATTGTGAAAAAGTCACTGATCTTACTTTGTATTTTGTGTGCTGATGCCTCGAGTGCAATGTCCTCAGCTGCACTTTCCAAGTTCTGCACATCATACAGAAGTCATGTTTCCAAAATTGTGTTGTTACATCATACGAATTTACCTTAAATACCCTCGAATCAACAACATGTAAACTCTTGCTCGTTTTTACAGTCAAACTGCCCACTATCGTCTAAATCTAAACGTTTTTGTTTACGAGGACGGTATCCTTTGCCGTAATATGATTGGCTTCCTTAGGTCATGTGTCTGATTCTGACCAATCACGACCCTTATAGCAGACTGTGGCGAAAAAGCGTCATTAGAAACCAATCTTTATCCAATAAAATTGCTTCTTACAAATGTGAAAATACTCCCGGCAAGGGTACAGTGATATTGTTGATGTTCAGAGCTTTCGAACGATACCCGCCATCAAATGATTCGCCTCGCATGTTATTCATACGGAGCTTCGAAAACGGAGGTATTTTCCGTTGTTGTGTCATGTTACCGAGCGGAAAGCCACTGATATCGGGAAATAGGCAACCATACATATTATTTAAGAAATCTTTTTATAATAATTTTCTTCATAAATGATCTTAGAGTCTCTGGGAACTCGGTGTCATGGCAGTAAATGCCTCTGGTTGACTGGTGTTGAAAGAGTTAAATTACTCTATGTAAGTGACACGTACCATTCACTAATTAACAAGGAACTGATTGACACCTCCCGTTTCTGAATAATCTTGGGAGTAACCGCGAATTGTGTTGTTACATCATTTGGACCTAACTGCATCAAAGGGTTGCACAGTCCTTCATGTGCCGTGTTTTACAGATCGTTTTCATAACAACTTGCTCGTTGGGACTGAAACACAATGCCAATATCCTGAGTAGACAGATGTTGATGTTTACAGAAGTTTCTAAATGATAGTTAAGTGCATTTCTGCCGGGACTGAAACTTTGTGCTGATGTTTACAGAGGCCGATATTGCCAGAGTCCACTGTATTTGTATCTGAACATATCGTAATATTGTCACGTTGAAACAATGTTCCTCATAATGAAGCTCATAATGAAAAATGTAATGTAATAGAATGCTAGATATACACAGAGCTTCTTGCCTAGGTCAGTATCAAGTGTGGTCAGCTGGCTTATACAAGTTAATCAAACAGTTCTGACGTACAGTGTATGGCAGTGTCACTGTTCTTGCTGATCTGTCAAATCATCTCAAGATTACAAGATCACTCTGCTCACTCAGGTCAAATCGTTTCAAGATTACAAATTAACACTGATCACTCACGTGAACACCTCCACTGCAGTAACAATAGTCATGGTGCATACATTACGCTCCATGGATTGAGCCATCTCAAGTACCAATGGGGGCGGTGGTTAAAGCATTTGCTTGTCACGCAGAAGACCCAGGTTAGATCCCCCACATGGGTACAATGTGTGAAGCCCATTTCTGGTGTCTCCTGCTGTGCTAAAAGTGACGTAAAACCAAACTCACTCATGTATCAATGCACATATCACATGAAGTCGGGGGTGGTGGGGTAGCCTAGTGGTTAAAGTGTTGACTCGTCACGCCGAAGACACGGGTTAGATCCCCCACATGGGTACAATGTGTGAAGCCCAATTCTGGTGTCCCCAGCTGTGAACATTGCTTAAAAACGATGTAAAACCAAACTCACTCACTCATGTACCCATGCATGGAAGCTGTACATC